TAAGCTAAAGCCTTTATAAGGCTTATTATGGTATTAGTTGATTTTCAACAAGGTTTCTAATCGAAAAATGATTTTTAGTCAAAAAAAAAACACTATTGGCATGACACTCCAGGTAATCGCCAGGCTAAAGAGTTGATGTGTCTATTCAACTACAGCTGAGTGTCCCTCCTTAGTAAAGCAGAATTAAGGTTGTGGATAAATTATCTGACCGACTATTATAGCCTGCATAATCATCTTAATAAGATAAATCTGTCTAAAGAGACATAATGTCGTTTTTACTTAGAAGCGGATAAAGCCTCTAGTTGCATTTTATGTCATTATCTGTGTTATTGATCTGAGTCAGAAGGAGACTGCTAAGTCATAAGTTGTCATCTTCGTTCGAAATTAGGACATCCTTACACCTGACATTGTGGCTTATATATTTAAAAAGTATTCTTATTCTATTCTGTATTCTATCCATATAATATTTGCGTATGTAGTCTTACTTACTTATTTAGTTGGCCATTACAGTCGTTAGTCCTTCTTGGCCGCCTCCAGTGGAATGTGCCAGCCAGTTCGATCCTCGTTTTGCTGCGACCAGTTGATAGAACCAAGTGCTTTCATATTGTTGATCATCTGGTCCTTCTACCGAAAATGCAGACGTCGTCTACCCATCAGCGGGTATCGAATCAAACACCTTTCTTAACGAAGCATTTTCTTCCATTTGCACAACATGTTCAAGTTAGCGAAGACGCTGAATTTTGATGGGCTTAACGGTAATGTCACGGTATAGCTCATATAGCTTATTGTTTCATTTATTTCCATCTAATCTTCTAAAAAATTTTACTCTAGAATGATCCTAACGTCTTCTTATCACTGTTGGTAATTGTCCAAGCTTCTGCACCATACAGCAGAACAGGCATGATAAGAGACTTGTAGAGCTCGATTTTCATTTGTCGAGCGAGGGCTTTATTTCTCAGTTGCACACCTAGCCCGAAGTAGTATTTGTGTACAAGAGTGATTCTTCGCTGAATCTCCACGCTGACTTCATTGTTGGTGTTTACACTGATCCCCAAAAAAAACAAAGTCTTTCACAATTTTGAACTGAGGTACAATTGTCAACAGTATGGAATCACACTTTTAAATAATTTTAAGATTTGTCGATTCTCTTTTTTGAAATATGTAGTTAAAATAATTTTTATTTACTCATCCTTAAATGATCTTAAGCTTTTTCGGTAAGCTTTTCTTTTTACAAATATATAATAAAAATATTTATTACTAAATATTAGACAGACTCTGGTGTATGTTTTGTTGGAAAATAAAACGGAACGATATTTTTAAATTAATTTTATAAATTTTATGGTGTAAATACATGCACCCATTAATGGCTTGACTTGTTGTTGAAATTGTGTAATTGTTTCGAGTAAAAATTAGAAGCAGGTCCGCGTAATATATTTTAGTATAAAGTTGTGAAGATGTTCGTTTTTAAGCTGTTGGTATGGAAGGCACTTAGTGGAAAAAAACAGAAAAACACTACATTAAAGTCCATTAAAAACTCATGACAACTAATTAGTGTAGAATGGCTTCAAAATAAACTTCATGTAAAATTTAAAAATTATATTTTTTTAGAAAAATCTTCTTTCAGCTTCAAAAGTGAAAACAAATATAATGAATTTTGCAGGAAAGCTATTAACCCATGCTCATTTTTTGGAGCCAAAAGATTAAAGCATTAGGAAGTGCATCAAATTCGTGTTTAAAATTTCATTTTAATTTCAAATAAACTTCGCCTTTCAACAGTTCTCATAATCAGTGCATTAAATGCAATAAAAATGCACGAAAATGAGTTTTATGCTATTAGAGTAAAAATTAGGAAGAAAAAGGAAAAGTTTACACGCAATTTGTACGAGCGTGTATATGCAATTAAAGTTTCCAGAGTCACACATGCTTCAAGAAGTGCTGCTGGAAACACTTTTCCATTTCTTTACGAGCATCACCATATGCACTGGCGTATGCGTGCATCTGTATGAGCTATAAGAGCTGTATGAGCTGCTGTACTTGAAAATATGTAATAACGTAGGAGAGTGTTCGAAAAATCCTTTTGACATGCAAAACTTAATCCGTAACTTAATTTAACTCAACTCTGCTCAGGCTACAAAGCCAAATTACAGTTGCACATGAACAATTATTCACACAAATACTCCAACATTCCAACATTCCAACAAACCCTTGTCGTCTATAAACCCACGTGTCCTTATATTACAAGCGTAAGAGGAGACAGAGGAGACAGAAAAAACACCAATGCAAAAAATGTTTTTTAAAATATCCTTTGCCATATGAATTTTTGATTCGTTCCTTGTGCCTCTGCTGCACTTTGACATACATTCCGATTGCAGATAGCAACGAAGCAACGAAGCAACCAACTGTATTCTTTAATAACATAAACTGATCAAAAAAAATACTTCTCAAAAACTGTACAAACTGATAGAAAACGATTAAGTAATTTCGTAATTTCTTGTCTGTGTTTTAATTACTTAAAACTAAAAATTAAACTGGATTTTCTAACGAACTCTATTCACACAGCCAGTCTTTTATTGATCACACTTTGTGCTCCACCTACCAATCGCCCTGAAGATGTATAAGTAAAGTATTAGTAACAATATACAGACTAAAAAGGAAATACCTTCAAGGCGTTTAATTAAAAAATAGTCTTTATTAAGGTGTAGTTAATAAATAGACTAACTGCAATTTAAATATTTTTTTTTACAAGAGTTTATACTAATATTACACTTAGTGTAAATACAGTGTTGTGAATACGGTAAAATATAACGAACACCGATAAGACTCTAACACTCTAAAAGCTCTATATCAGAACAGTCCAGACCAGATACGATCGCGTGCCAATACAAGTCACTGCGCAAATGGGAAGGCCATTTGGTATAAAACAAATCTAAAATTGAATAATATAAATTAAGTTAGCTGCAGTGGGAACATGGTAATAATACAAGATTATACAAGATCTGTATAAGAACAATATAGCTGCAAGTGAAAAAGAAAGAAACATCTAAAACTATGAAATCAGTGCAAATAAACATGTGTAGTGTATTAAAGTAGATACTAACAATAAGAAAGTTCTTATCCGCACTGCATTATAATTGCTAAGAATGATAATGGTGATAAAATGACTGATTTACTTACTACTCATATGTACATCATCTTGTATTCAAAAGAGCATAGTGACATTTTATTATGACTAATAATCTAGTTGAGTGAATATGTGCGGCTCATAAACTAACTTCAAAAATATTTTTCTCTAAATTGTCTTACTCGTACATATATTAATGTATACTTTACCTTGTTAATTATGCTTCACAGGCATTGACTAGTTAGGAACGTTGAGCACAGCACATACGAGTTCGAGTATGAAGTCAACATCGTATTGTCCACTAATGACATAATATGATGAGTTGTGTATGTGTGCTAACCTCCAGCAGTCACGCAATTTACTAACCAAACACACCAGTAAATTGAAGTTGTCTCTTTTATTAATTATCTCGTTACAACATTCTACTTGGAGATATCTGCTACATCCTAGAGGATAATGCAGGCGACAAGCATTTGTAAGTGCTGACAAGTTCGGGTAAGTTTAATTAAAGCATGTATTCTGCAAACGAATAGTGGCTACAAAAAAAGTTATCATGACAGAAAAAATATACAAAAATTTTAGAATATTTATCATAATTTGTTACAAATTATTTTTTACGGTACTATTTTTTAATGCATTTTAAATTATTTAATAAAGATAACTTCGTGATCTTGCTTTGGCAGTACTAATTTAGAAATATTTGTCGAAAGAAACAATCTTTTAAGGGTTTATATGGATCTTTTATAACCCTTACATCTTAAATTTGTAGATACTTACTCCAGAAATGCACGACGATTTTCGAATTATTGATTATCTCTTGGTGGATGGGTCAACAAACAAAAGTTTTGCAAAATTCGCAAGTAATTGTCATCCATAATTTCAATCTATAAAGGTATTGTATGCTTTTAAAATTCCGTTTTTTTTTTTAAATGACAAAAAGGGACATAAACCTTTGACTCTGACTCGATACAACCGCATAATTATCAACATATATTTTGGCATGAAATAGAAGATATAGATGTGGAAGATATTTCAACTCAACAGAATAGTTCCACATCGTTCATAACATGTCCTACTTTGGTTTTATACAAATTTCGTCGTACTAATAAAAGCCTTAAAATTTCTTAAAAACGTCATTGAAACGGAATTTTACAGTTCCTACCACTCCAACTTTCTTCATTTTAAAACCACATCAACGCGAATCACTTCTTTGACAGCTATAGCATATAGTATAACTAAATCTGAATCGATTAGTAACAGTGCATAGTGTAGCTATAAATACAAAAAAGAAATAATAATAATAAAAAAAAAGATAATATTTGAGTCTTTAGATCACAAGGATCGTTATTTTAAAAGCGGATCGGCTTTTAACCTATTAAGTTCCGAATTGATATGGGCTCTTTTAATAAAATGAAAATAATCGCATTACGAAAAAATACTTTTAAAATTTTTTTTCGTAGGAAATCCATTGAGATCCAATGAGATTCTCAAATCCATTGGACTTTGAGAATTAACATTTTAGACTTATTTTTAAAAACCCAATTCTCAGAGAACCGTACAATTTTTTATAATTGTTTCGAACTGGAAGAAGGAAGATCATACATTTTCTTTCAATTTTATAAAAATAGTAAAAAAAGTACTCTATTAATGTAGTCAATTTTGTTTTGTTTAAACATTTGTAATCTTGGAAAAATTTCTTAATAAATAGAATAATAAATAAAATAAATAATTAAAAATAATAAAGGAAACAATTGTATTTTTTCATTAAAATCTATATTTGTTTGTTAAAAGATAAATTTGTAACATAAAACTTTAAAAGCATCAATTCATATGTTTTTATTATAAAATATATAATATTAATTACCAAACTGAACAATCGCTCCATTATATTAAATTTAAAAAGAAATCTAGAAAAATATCGGGAAAAATGTTATATATAAATGAACACAGAAAAGTCTTTAAAAGTGCTTTAAGTGATTATATATACTCGTATAAAAATCTTATTTTTTCTCGTGTTCATCCTCTTCAGATTCATGCTTCTTATTTTCACTTTCTTTTTCGCACTCCTGAGGAAAAGGCAAAGCCTGCAATCGTTTAACCATCTCTTCCAAGGTTTCATTAGGGTTATTTGAATTTTGTTGTATGGGTTTTTTAGGTGCTTGACGTCTGGAAACACACAAATGCGTTAATGGTTTGACCTTTGGAATTGCACCCTGCTGCGCAGCAACTTGTAAAGCCGTAGTCGTAACAGTTACTCCCTCAGCCAGTCCCTCTGGCACAATACTTGTGCTAGCAATTTCGTTTGGTGTCACTGTCAATGGAATTGTTGGTGTAATATCTGCTGTTGTAAATACTTGATCAGTTTCCATGCTTCCAGAAGTATCACTACTTTGTTTCGTTTTGTCTTGGGAATTTCGGTTGTTTTCGCGCTGTGTAATGCGATTTATCATTCTTGTGCCACGTTCAGATGTATTTGATAATCGTGTAAGAAGTTCTTTTCCCTCTTGCTCAAGTATGCGCAAACGTTCTTGGCGATAGTTAGTAATTTTTTCAATATCTTCCAGCTTTTCCTCTAACGTTGGGGCTGTTTCTACTGTTGTATGTACATTAGTTGTAGTTTGAGACTCCGCAGGATTTGCAGAAGCTGCAGATGTGTTTACTCCATAGTGTTCATGTAGAGTATCTAATTTATTTTCAAGAGCATTACCTCTCTGAGTGTTAAGTGACATTTTAGTTAGCAGCTCTTTGCTCTGTTCTTCCAAACGTTTAAGTCTCGCTGCTCTACGAGTAGTGTAGGATTCTTCAGTAGCAGTCAGTGGACTCTCATTTTCTTGTATAGGAACTATATTGGCTTCATTTTCGTTTTTCGTAATATCGTTAGTTGCTCCTTCAACTTTACTTGTATCTTCTTCGGTGTTGCTTTCAAAGCTTTCTTCCCGACTCGGAGCACGTCGTATGCGATCTAATGAACAACGCAAATAGTGTCCACGGTCAGATGTGCGTTTTATACGGGACATTAGTTGACGACTTTCCTCTTCTAGTCGCTCTAATCGCTCGGAACGCTTACGGGTATATTCTTCTTCTCGTGGTGTTAGAGTACCTGTAGCTGGAGCGGAACTTGCACGTGTCATACGTTCCGTTCTTTTTTTACTTATGAACTCATCTAATGGTACTGCATATTGTACTGGAGATATTTCATCCTGAAATTGACATAGTTGAATTTCCAATCGCTCACGATTATCTGAAGTTTCCAAAACTCGCTGAATCAGTGTCTTGCATTGCTCTTCCAAACGTTCTATACGAGAGGCACGTTCTGTACATTGCATGGTATCAGGAATTTTATCATCAGCTACGATTTTCATATCAACGCTACCTTTCGTTGGCACGTTTCTATTACTCCTGTACTTACTGCGAGAACAATGCTCATTTACTTTACGTTTTGCACCTGTATTTATTTCCACAGGCAATTCGTGTGGTTGAAGATCTTCATCATCATCAAAATTACCTATAGCACTACCACTACTTGTACGCCAACCGCATGTAGGCGGTGCACTATTCCAACGTAACACTATCTCTACACCACCGTATCCGGCACGACCAGGTGAAGTGCTTTGCATGCGTTTAATTTTGCGTGTATGTTCAAATAATTCCTTAAAATTCTCTGCACGACAATTGTTGCTACCATCGCGAACCAAGGCAGCAGCACGTTCTTCCTCATCCGATACTGGACCAGAATCGCTGTAACCACTCTCAGCCGAATTGTTGGCATCCTCCAGCTTACGTTTGGCAAATTCACGTCGTAAATCATTCCATTGCTCTTGACTTTCATCATTTTTAGCACGTGCAGCCGCCCACTTACGACGACAATACTCCAATTCATCCTTGAGTTCGCTAAGTAAACGTCGTTTCTGTTGCAATTGATAGCGTAATATTTGCTCTTGTGTATGCAACTGACGATGTTGACGTTGCATTTTGCCAACCAAGTGCCAAGTTTTTGTCAGTTCTAAGCTTACTGCACTGAGACGCTTTTCTTGCTCGTTGAGGCGATATTCAAGATGACAATTTAATGTTTTTAAGCGATTAGTTTCTTTGACCAAGGACTTCTTCTCTAATATAAGATCCTGTCGATGACGTTGTGAAATTATTGATATATATAGACATTTTTATGTTAAATGGATAACAAAAGAAACGAAAAAAAAAGAAATAATACTATTAAAAACTTTTTGAGATAATATGGTTAATATAATTATATTATAAAAAAATATGTAATATATTATAAGAAAATAATTACTTATTAAAATGTATCACTTAAATATGGGGTAGATGTACTTACTAAATACAAAAGAATATTATAATAATCATATAGTTATAGTTATATTACTAATACTTCGTAAACATATACATTACTATTTGTAATCACCTTTCTAACAGTTCTAAGTTACAAGGGTTCGAATAGAAATGAAAAGACAACAACAAAAATTTTAATTAATTTATTGAAATTTGGCTGACCATACAACGCTTTCTTGAGTATTGTCAAGTACTTATCATCAATGAACTTAGGAAATATTCGAATTTTTGAATTAGTTTATAGTCCGTTTATACATTGTTTGGACTGCAAGTGCCAGGTTTTAAAAACTCATACCTGTCAAATTAAAAGCAATAACTAATCGTGTTTTTTCACAATTAAACAAGTCTGCACAAACTTTTAATGCTCAAGTTCGAATTCGAAAATTTTCTAAGACCACTAATGATGAGCAATACTCGAAACAGCATTGTGTAACAGCCAAATTTCAATAATTTAACTGCAATTTTTGTTGTTGTCTTTTCATTTCTATTCAAACCCTTTTAAATTTTAAAAAGTTTCTTTTTGTTATGAAACGCCTCACTTTCAGCAAAAAAAAATTAACATTAAAAAGTTGTAAATTATTATTTTTTTTTCTTGAAATAAATAAATAATTAATAAATATTATTTAATAAATAATTATTTAATTAAAAAATATTTATTTATATAAATAATGAATAATTATTTAATTAAGGATTATTATTTATTTATTTAATTAAAATAAAGAAATATATATAAATAAAAATCACTTTTTTAAATGAAAAAAAAAAAAAATATAATATACAACTGTTAAATAAAAAGTTGTGGATGGTTTAACTGCTTAGATATTTTCAGATAAATATTATTAATTTATGGATTTTTTAAAGCTTTAATGCTAAATCTTCTTAAATTTTGTTTAATATAATGAAGAACTTCCAACTAAATTTTCTAAAAAAATTTTAAGGCCCTTGAACTTAACTTAGACTACTGAAGTATATAAAAATATTTGACATTTTGAAATTTGATTCGATTTAATGGGATTCATTTAAATTAATGTGCTTAAATCTAAAATTCATGAAACTAACAAACACGGAGCATAGTTCATTGAGATAAAATAATAAGTATGGTAAATGGAAAATGTAAGGTAAAATGCAAACTATGGAGCACGTCGTAAATCATTTAAAAAGTTAGCATAACTTGTAAAATGCAATGATTTCTCTCAGTGCCGCCCAACTCAGTTGTGTAGGATCAACAAAACGACATAGCAATTTAATAACCTAAAATGTCAACCACATCCTTTATATAAGCCTTCTACAACAGTCTTTATACAAAGTCGTATGAACAAATAAACATACAAATTACTTAAAATGCGATTTGAAAAGTACCTTTAATTTGATGTAAGTCTTGCTAACACTTATTTCAGTCTTTGGTCCATTTGGAGTCTCGACCGATTTGTAACAATCCTCGCCCTTTCCATTTTCCTCGAAATTCACTTGCTCAATTTTGTGGTGGCTTAAAAGCTCCATCAACACTTTCCAAACTTTCGGCAAGTTACCAATAATTTCTTGTGCTGATGCAACTTTGCCAATAACTTCAGGATCATTAAATTTGAGCATTGTGGACATGTTGGCACCCATTGTGGATAACGTAGAAGATGGCAGCAACGTTGCCGATGATGATGATGATGATGATGGTGCTGATGATGATGGTGATGGTGCTGATGATGACATTGATGGTGGTGGAGTTTTGTTGCTCAAACTTCCTCGGTTGTATTTTTTTAGATTTTTGCTTGTAATGGACGACGTTGAACTAACTCTGTCTTGTGTATTATTACAAATGGCTGTGCCACCAATTGTGTCAGAACAAATAATATTCTGCAAACTATTTTGTTCCTCTGTCTTATCTTCGTTTTGTTCCATTTTGTTGTTATTATACTGTTCTTGAATATTGCTTGTTGCTTCGGTTTCTGTATCTGTTAGCTGTGCGGAATTGTTTCCTTTGACATCAGGATTCTGTATGCTGTCAACACTGATATCCTGCTCAATGTGTTCTTTATCATTACTGTTTTTAATTTCATGTAATGTTGAAGTTAAACTGTCTTTCCCTCGCTCACCTACCGTTGCCTGTTCCACTAATTCAAACAACAGTTTTGGAAGTGTGGCTCCATCATTGCAACTTACTTCTTTCATTGTCATTTCATTGAGAAGTGTTCGATTCTCTTCCAGCATTGTTGTCAGCCGGTCAATATCTAAGTTATTCTGACCATTAAAGCCCATTAACATTTGAGTAAAAAGCTAAAAAAAACAAAAAACAAAAAACTTTAATTAAAAACTAATTAAATACAAAAAATGTATCTCATATATATATATATATATATATAATTTAAAAATTTTATATAAAACAATATAAAATATAAAATATAACAAATAATATCTTAAGATATACATAAACATAGAATTAGTAGAATTTAGTATTACTAAAAGTCATTTTTATTATTGAATGAAAAAGATATTGCCTTGATTCCGGTATAAATACTTTAACAGTAATAAAATAAAATATATATTAAATATAATATTTAAAAAAATACTGAAAATAGTTTGGTCGATATTAATTATTTATTAATAATTTATTAATAATTCATTATAATTTTGACTTACATATTAAAAATTAATATTAATATTAATTTTATTTAAAATTAACACAAATTTACATTTTATTAATTTATCGACTAGAATATTTATAGGGTATATACTATATATATCTCCTGAAATACCTAGATAATACCTAGATATAACAAACTAAAAAAAGTAAATAGACATTGAAAAACTCCATTTTTAATATAAACCAGAATCGAATCCAAAAGTGTTGACCTTTGGAAAACTTTGGCAAAAAAACTCAAATACTCCAGCAAATTTCTACATTATTGACGAAACTAGCAATAGATTGATCGCATCAGAAAACAAAAATTTTCTTGATATACTAAAGTATTGACATAGGAAAAAAATTTAAACTAAAAAATTGTATAACAAATTAATCTTATTTAATTAGGTTTCTCAAAAACTTCTCCAACTTGCTGCGTTGCAGTATTGCAAGAAATGTGACAAGAGGGGAAAGATATATATTAGAGAATACTTTTTTTTACAGAGTTTTAAAAGTTATTAAACTTTTATATTATGTGTAATATGTAAATGAGGAATCTATATCCTATATTGGTACAAACTATAACTATCAATATTGATATAAACTATTTAAATAAACTACTTTCTAAACTACTTTATAAACTAAATCTTTTTTTAATTGAGAATTTTTGCTTGGCTAGACTTTTCTTTGACACTCTATATCTTGGTCAATGTTGAAAAGTATATCCTTTTTCGATACGCATTTTTTCAACTCGTGAACTAAAGAACCGTTTTCGGAAATCATGAAAAATATATAAAAAATACTTTGTTTAATAATTGTAAAACAAAGTTTTATATACGTAAACTTTTTTTTGTTGAAGATATGTATTCGTTGAGAGTTAAGATAAGAAATAACAGGGTACCGGCTCCCATTTGAGTAGAGCACCGGGGCCATGATTGATCTTTTGTGCTACATCGTTGAGAGTTTCTTTATTAAAGATCTTAAATTACTAACTCTATAATTTTAAAGCTAACGTTCTGCTGTTTATTGGAATTGTTCATGCCATAATACCGTTTCTCCAAATTAATCGAATTAATTCTCCAAAACATATTACCGTTGGCTCGAACTTAGAGAGAAGGCATGTTCTGACAATTCCAATAAACAGCACAACGGTAAATAACATAATACTACAAAATAAATTGGTGCTACATGTGGAACTTTACTTAGATATATGTATATCGATTAGAGGCAATTGCACCTTCTCGACTATTATCTTTTACCATTACTGGCTAAATTTGTTAAAGTTAAGTGGACAAACGTCCATTTAACGTTTGTATACCCACACAAATCATGTCTTATAGATTTAAACTTTCTATCAAAAATATATAAAATATATGTAAGAGGAAATAATTTCACGTAAAGTTTAATAGAATTTACTTGGTAAATACTAAATTCTTGATAAACAATATAACTATTTGCGTAAAAGGGATCACAGCTTTGATTTTTATTATGATTTGTTCTTATTTATAGAAATATTATTACAAAAGAAAGTGAATAAATTTTAAATTATTTAATAGAACATAAACAAAATTTAGCGGAAGTCTTCTTTTATCTGAATATATCCTCCATAATAGGGAGACATGCTATAACACTAGATCATTCCTATAACAACTTTTGTCGCTGCTGTGGTTCTGAGAACGAGGAGGAGAATGTGTTTCATCTCAAATGTCTGTGCACATATTTATCTAGAAGAAGATCAAAAATCTTAGAGGCCTAAGATCGTTACCGATCTGATTGAGCTGTCATCCTACAATATTAGGGACTTAGTCAGTTTCATAGAATTATCAGGTTAGTTTACCTTTACCTAATGGAGGAGTTGTTGCATTTTTCAGTGTTGGTTGTATACTGACCTTCTAGTTTATGTACGAACCAACACTATTTCTGTGATACCACAACTGACCATTATTTGAGCTCAAGTGAGCTTTCTTTGTATTCATAAACGCCACTCCAACCTAACCTAACCTAACACACTTCACAAAGAAGTGAGTGACTGAGAGTCAGAACTTAACTTATGATTATCCTTTACATTAAATATAATTGTCATTGCCATTAAGTGCTTTAATAAAATATTTTAAATAATAAAAGTCGCTTAAGCTCTATTTGAGTGCTAAAATACAATGTAGGTATATCAATTTTACAAATCATTTTTTATATTCTATAATGCAAAAATAAAAATACACTCACAAAAAAAATGTTAAAAATGCTATCAAGCAATTAATATTTCATGATAAATCCTATATCTGAAGTATATGTCTCCCTAATAATTTCTTCAAATATTTTCGTTTATCAAAGCTAATTTAAGAATTCATCATAGTCATCACTATATAAAACTATTAAATAAATTATAAAAGCTTTCACTTATTATTAAAAATGTTTTCTTTCAAAAAAAAAAGAAATTTCTTTGTTTAAATTTCATTCTTAACTTTTTAAAAATGCTGGAATGGCTTTCTATATATTTACGAATATTTGCAAATGTGTTTGTTCAAGCCCCATTGTGGGTATTTCTCGTACTTATATATATGTTAACGACAAATAATTTCCAAATTTACTTAACACTTAAATAACTTTACTTTACTTCACTTAAAATACAAGCCAGTGTATGGCAGCGTACCGTATTTACAGCACCCATTTCCTCCTTAAGAGTCCTTTTCTCGAATTTATGCTCGTTGCACTCCTCACGCAGTGTTGCCAATTCATTGTGTGCGGATTCAACTTCCTTCACTAACGTTTGATTGCGTTCTTCAAAGTTTTTTGTTCTGAAAATATACAAAAAAAAAAAAGAAGAAAAATCAGTTAAGAAAATTTCTTAAATTATTAAAACATTTTACCAGAGAAAATTTGTAAGTACAATTGAATATTTTATTAATTTCTAAAAGAGCAGTTTGCAATATACAGCAAACGACTATAGCCACCTGCAAAACTTAAGATACAAAAACTTACAACTGCACTATAATATCTTCACTTTCTTTAAAGTAAAAGTTTAAAATTTTCAATGGTAATTATACAATCGAGAATTTTTTAAATAAAATATTTAATAATTTTAAATAGTAAATAGTAAAAATATTAAATAGATTGTGTACTTAATTTTTAATTATTTTTAAATAAAACAGTTATAAAGTAATTATTTCAAACTAATACAAAGAATAAAAAATAGTATTTTTTATTAAATAAATATTTTACATATAATATCTAACGAAAGTTTAATATTATTAATTACAGTATTACTGTCTAACTATGGGCATGGGCGTAGCCAGGAAGCTATATCTTTGGACTTCGTTCAAAAAAAAATATAATAATAATAAAAAAGCATAAACAAAATCGTTATCGAAATAAAAGAAATAAAGTTTCGATCGATACCAATGATTATATCATTTTTGATTATATTAAAAAAAGTCATCAATCCAGGAATATAGTTTCAGCTACTAAATATGACTGACTGAATATATACTCGTGCATGCCGATACCATTAACAATATTATATCACATTTAAGGATATCTACTACCCCATGGGTTAATTTCTCATTAAAATCATCAATTCAGACATATAGTTTCAGTTAGTAAATACGACTGACTAAATATGATTGATACCGGGTACAATAATATATCACATTTAAGGATATCTACTACCCCATGGGTTAATTTCTCATTTAAAAAAAAATCATCAATTCTGAAATATGGTTTCAATTACTAAAAACGACTGACTAAATATATACTCGTACATGCCGATACCGTTAACAATAATATATCACTTTTAGGTGTGTTTATTAACCCATGGGTTAGTTTCTCTTTTCAAGAAAAACAAAAAATCCTCAATCCAGAAATATAGTTTCAGTTAATAAACACGACAAATTAAATATATATTCGTACATGCGGATATGGTAAACAATAATATATCACATTTAGGTGTGTCTATTACCCTATGGATTCATTTCTTATTTCAAAAAAAAAGTCATCAATTCAAGAATCTGGTTTCAGTTAATAAATATGACTAACAATACGGTGATCAATAAAATATTACATTAAGTATGCTATTTCAAGCATACTTTTATTTTGAGTATCGGCCTATATGCCTCACTCGTATACGTCCATGCTTTCAATACAACTTTATATTTACTAATGTGTATTGACTGTAAAGAAATGAAATTATGCCAATTTATTTAAAAAATATAAAACATTTAAATATACTATTTATTTAAAAAAAAATAACTATATGTATTACTAATAAAAGGGTTTTCAAATACCAATGGCTTGGAATCTAAAATAGCACTTTTTAGCTGATCATACAAGTATTGTATTTTATATTATATATTGTGTCAAGTATTCTCGAAATCTTTTTATCAGTAATCTTTGGAAATATTCACTAGTTTTACAAGACCTCATATAATTGTTGGACTATAAGTGGTGGGCTTAAATTTTTGAACCTGTCAAATTAAAAGCAATGACTTTGCGTGGTTTAACCAAACGAACTAAAACTGCACGAAACTTACGTTATTTAATTTCGATTTTTGTCAAAATGTATTGTTAAAATATCAAAATTTTTTATTAAGATAGTTATATTTACTAAGATTTACTCTTTAATTAACAATAAACTTCGCATGCCAGACGTTGTCATAAGGCTTGGAGATATCAAACTTCCCCATACTATTATATTTCCGTTTGTCTATTTATTTTGTGAGACCCACCATCATCAGTTGTAATCCATTGGATTATTGTTTGGTAAAACTATAAGTTAAAGTAAGTTAATAATTTCGCCACAAGAGTTTCAAATTTAATTTTATTTTGACACTGCAAGGCTTACTGCAATTCTTTCTATAGTATTTTATAGAATTGTATTTTTTCTATTTCTTCCTATACTCACTGAAGAAGTTGTGGAAACTTCTAGGAAAAAGAAATCATTACTTTTTGTGTGAATGCCTGGTTTTGGTGTCCAGAAGGAATAGATTTTTAGAATGGCCTTTCTTTGACAGCTTATTAGACTATTTATCGGTAAAGACAAAAGACTTATAAAGTTATAAAGTTAAATTCGACGGAATGGAAAATTTTTGTCATTAAAGACCATTTACGGTAACTTGTATAACCTGAGTAGATAAACTTTTGTATAAACTTCAAAAAAATGAAAACAGTAGTCCTTTACTGATATATCCTTTTCTGATATATTAATAACCTCTCAAGAAATGAAAACAATAATTCTTCACAGTATCAGTTTTCGATCCTGACCTACAAAAATGAATTGTAAGTACTTCCCATAACCACTGAGATTTTGTGACAGAGCAAGTTTATCCATTTCGGTCATTCAACATGGAGAACCAAGTTCATAAAAATAAATTTGAGTTTTTTTCTAGTCGTCATGTGGTAAAAGACTGTATTGCAAGTGGGGTTAACTGCATAATTGGTTTGATAATTATACTTTATCGAAGCGCAAAAATGTAAATCAGAAAGTATTTCAAGTAGTAAACGCCTATCGTAGGATTTATCTGATATTTATGATTACATTTATTACCTAATCTTGACTTTTCGGACTATATTTTTAATTATAATTATTATGAGCAGCACTAATTTTTATTAAACTATTTCTCTTTAAAATATTTTTTAACACGTTATTACTCGTCGAGATTTATTCTGTTAATTTTAAGGAAAATGGTCGATTTGACAACATGAAATGCCTGAATAACGTCAACAAAGACTCAGATTATGTTTATTTTTCAACCGATTTGACTTATCAATACCTCGCTGAAAATGTGTTTTGGGCATCCGTCACACAAATGTACGAGTATGTATGGAATAGTCCAATGAAATAGTTTCCAACAAAAAAGAAAAAAAAATGAAGTAGAATTGAAAAACTATTTTTTTTTTTGGGCTGTAAGCCATATCTCGAATTTTATACAAGCGGCGCAGCGGTATTTTTAATTCTATTCCACTAAAACTTCAGCAGTCATTTTTTTGGGCTATGACATATTTCTAGGGGGCACGTTCATTTAAAATCGTATTTTCAATTTTTTAAAAGTATGTACATATATTCAACTCTTGTGATAACTGATAACTGCATATGCAACACTAATAAATATACATGTGAGAACCTATTTGAAAACATTTTTCATTAAATAAAATTCAAATACAAAACCAAAGGAAACCTAAATAATAGATTATTTTTACTATATGGTATATGAAAAAATATTTATCCATATCCATATCAAAAATCGAAATCTTTTAATATTCATTCCTAAATTACCACAAATATTTCGAATCTTACAAACTGTGTCTAAATCTTTTAAAAGGATGCATGATGCATTCGTATTATTCAATTATTATTATTAATATTAGAGGTATTTATTTAAAAAAAAAAAAATACATATATATATATATGTTTTATCCTTTTCATCTTTCAGAGCATGGAAAAACATTTGTTGAAAAAGGGTAGTGTAATCCTGTTGTTGTTATTGATGCTGGCAAAGTTTGAAAATACACACATGTGCTCATAAATTGTTAGCAGCACCCAAAAATACAATCAAATTCATAAAGTAAAAAATTTGTAGCAACATTTTTAACTTTTTGTTTTAAACTTTTCTGTTTTGTTAAAAATTGTTTAATACAAAAAATTCAGAGTAAAGTAAAGTATAACATGTTTATGCAACCTCCTCCAATGTTGTCACCTCTCACGATTTCAGGCATTGACGATGTGTAGTGAAAAAATTTAGTTCCATTAAGTCTACACGACTTTTAGAATGGCATTAAATATTTTCATCATTTCTAAATAGATAAATTTTTCAGCTATTGCAACCCTCAGAGACATTACTTGTACAGGGAATACTCTATTTGTGAAAAATTTTACAATGCATTGAAGAAGATGTCAAGCACAATACAAGTCACACATATAATATTCAACCTTCATCAGACTCACAAGACTACACCGAAAAAGAGACACTTAAACACTTTTTAATTAACAGATCAAGTTTAAGTCCAGATTGAGGCACACAGGCGCATAGTTCTTCAATTGACTCCATTACACTCCCAATCTTTGACATCGGTAATCCACTTACATTTACAAGTACAAATCAGAGTCTGTTTAATAATGAAATATCCGAAAATTTTGCTAGATTAAAGTACACAGGCGCATAGTTCTTCAATTGACTCCCAATCTTTGACATCGGTAATCCACTTACATTTACAAGTACAAATCAGAGTCTGTTTATTAATGAAACATCCGAAACTTTTTCTAAATTTTAAACAACGTAGAATCAAGAGAGTATTGTAGCCAGTTTTATCAATATCCATTATACCTACCTATCTATCACAAAACGCATCGATTTAGCGTCTATTATGTCTATTAGTTTGACAGATAAGTGACATTAGATTAGTTAGATTAGACTAGACAAATAGTTGGAAGAAATAAAATTTCAATAAGTTAGTTAGTTAGTTGTAGTGGAAGGAGAACCCAATCCTCTTTAATTACCAAAGGAAACTGTTTTGAATCCAAAAATTCTTATAAAAATAAGTAGTACAGAAACGATCAAGCTAGAACAAGCCAGAGGCATTTATATAGGCGAGGGGGCCCAGAAACTTAAGCCTAGTTCTACCAAAAAATTTCAATAAACAAGTACATAATTTGAAAAGAAAATTTTTATAATTAGCTGCTTCAAAAATATTATCATTAATCTACTAACTATATAGTAGAATACATAAGTTATCAATTTTATGGTTTAGAAAGTAAACGTCAGGAAAACACACGAATGATTAAAATTTCAAATAAAATTTTTATAGCAATATATTATATGAATCTTGATATTAGTTTAATGGTTAGTTACAGTATTAAATCACATGATCACCAATTATTTGCATTTGGAAATAATTGCAAAGCACATTACTTGCAAGAAACCCCTGTAGATAAACTACAATCAGCCAGTTGTATTAATTTAGTTTTATAGATTTTGTGATCATTACTAAGATCTAATAGTCTGTCATTAAAATACATCCTAAATATCTATTCCTTCATTTAAACAAAACTGGGATATCACAGAGAAAGTGTGTGATTATCTTACTATTCTGTATCCAAGTTCTTGCAACTTCTACAATAAAAGCTGAACGGAAAGCACAATTTCTTCAATTTTTTTACGTGGAGTTCTATACATGAGTGACCTGGAAAAACTACATCAGCCTAGCAACAAAAACTCGTTCCATATTAATGATTTTCGTTTGATTGCTCTAATGGTATGAAAACCAGATTGGCTGATATGCCAATCTGGTTTATTAGCAAGTTGCAAAATGTGAGATCAATGCGTCCCTAAACGATTTTTAGTGAAACTTATATCGGTAATACCTTTTGAGAGAGAACTTTAAAATTGGATATAAACTACAACAGTATTTAAATGTCCTGCATAAAATATCTTCAAGAATAAGTGTTTCTGATCTGATTTTTGATGACACAATTACTAAGTCGGCACATACTTAGCAATTAGTCGATCATAGTATAGATCATATTATAGTTGCTCATTTTCATATCATTATTAGTTCGTTGATTGTCCATGTGAACAAAATTTTACATATTGCTGCTAAAAAAGTCCACTGTCAGTGTCGCATGATCATGATTGTCAATTAATAGCACCAAAAAATAAAATCACATATCCGAAAAATTTATTGCTCAACAAAGCCAAAACAAATCATGCAGTATGAATTGTGGTTTATGTTAACCATTCTTCAACATTCTGTTGAAACCACATTTCTTTCAAATCAATCATCAATTTCACTATAATAAAAATTGATTGTCATTTGGCTGTAGCCGTACACCGCAAGACACCGTTCCAGTTCAGATTGGTCGACGCAAATGGCGATGGATTTGCCTGCGAAGCATATTGCAAGAACAACACTCCGACCTGGCGCACCAGCACAAACATGGCGCAGAACTACAGATAGAGAACTTAATAATGCAAATTATAACTGGAATGATATATGCCGCAAAGCACCCAATAGAGTTAGGTTTAGATCTATGATAGAGGCCCTATGTTCTGGGAGGAGAAGAGGACAACGGTAAGTAAGTAAGTAAGTAAGTAAATAGCTATCAGAGCTAATTCTTTGTATTACACTGTCATCATTTTCAAAAAAGTACAGATAGGATCTGCCATGTCTCTACACTAATGCCATTTTCGATTGATAAATCTGGGATAATTAATCCAGATTCACTCTTAGTGCAATTTTCGATTGTTAATTCATCACCGAAATGTTCAGCATATCATATATATATGTCATATATATATATGACATATATATGTGTTATATATTTTTCCACATGATGAGAACGAATGGGCTATCGACATGTCGGTCCCTCAATGTAGCGCTCACAAAATGCTGCAAATATTATATACAAATGCTGTCAGTTGTAAGCTTTACCCGCGATGCTACATAGAACAAACAAACTTTTTTTGCTTGGGTTATTTGTTTTTCTGTTCTTGCATTTGTTATTGTTTCTGTTACTGTTTCTGCTGCCATTGTTGTTTTTTATATATTTTTATTATAAAACTTTTTATGCGTTGGAATTTTTTCTTTATAGGAAATCTATTCATTAACACATTTCCAACACATGAAGCAGTAAATGTTTACTTTTAAAACATGGGCACACACAGTGCCACACATGGGGATGGAGTCGCATCTATTAGCACATATTGAAAGGATAAGCAGATGCAAACAGGAATGTACAATCGATTATAAAAACTTTATGTATTATATATTGTGTTTTATAAGCTTGTGATTTTATTTATCACGCTTGCAATAGATTCATAAGCTTAACTAAAGTGCAAAATATCGCGAATCTAAAAAATACAAAAAAATTTTAACGTGTCCTTTTGTATATCCAGTATTTATTTATTTATTTTTTTTTCTTTCATTATTAAATCGTTTAATTCATATACCCTTAACCGCGGGAAATATGTTTACTGAACCGAGGATTTAAATGATTTAAGCTCTTTTTTAATGTGCATATATTTACTAAATATTTATTTTTATTTTTTAATCTTCGCTTACTCACTTTTCGTTTTCAGCGACAAGTTCGTCCTTTTTAATCGATATCAATCTTTGTAAATTCTCCTGTTCTGCTGCAGAAATACGTTGCCTTTCCTCGTACAATTGTCTCAGTTGCCGGATATTGCCCAATTGACGCTCATATTCCTGCCGCAAATTTTGTGACATAATTTTCATTTCACGCTCCCCAAATGAAGTTTCAATTTCCTGCAGCTTACCCTTCAACTAGAAACATTAAAAAACGATAAATTATTAAAGTAATAAATAATAAAAAATGATTAAAAATTATATTGTGTTTATTAAATAATGACCCAAAAAACTTATATACTCGTATATAGGCTTAAGAGTGAAATATATAGATTATTTTGAAATGATCATAATATGTTAGGAGAAGAACTCACTCTCGCTAAAAATGCACAAACTAAGTCAACCAATTACAAAACTTTAAAAAATTTTTTAGTACGAAATATCATCTATCTATCTAGCGTAATCTATCTCACACCATCTAGTGTAACCCGATCGGACTCATATAACAATAGATACATATATTGGGAAAAAAATTGATTTATTTTTAATACACCTAATATTAGCAAAAAAACTAGCCCTTACCAAATTATTCCAATTATAACTAGGTTAGATTAGGTTTTACCGGCGTACCAATTGCATCCGCTTACGGTTATTGGTCCATTGTGTTACCGTATAAGGGAAAAACTCAATGGCTTAAAAGCACCTTAAACCTTTGGCTAACCTAAAATAGTTATTTAATAGAAGGTCTTGCAATTCTAAATATTCTCAAAAAAGGAGGCCCTTAGAGCAGATGAGAAGCACTTGAATCTTCCTCTCCACAATTGCGACAGGTATAATTGAAAAGGAAATTCTATCTTCTAGTATGGTTTTCCATACTATGATGCATAATAACAAGATTTATTAGTTGTTCTAAGAAAACTCCACTGCCTACACCACAACTTGTTTTAGATCCGTATCATACACTTATTACACAAAGGTAGTGTTTAAGATCATATTTATCGTGTTGATAATGATTCGAATCAGTTCCATAAGGTAGACTGGCATACACATTAATGAAGAAAAAATGAAATACATGATGACATTGTCTGCAACAAAAACATTTACAGTTGCTCAAATTGATTGAGGAATAGGAATGGACTGGAATGGATTTTAATATCCATTTCAGATAATTGAGGAATGGGTTTAAAGTGGTGTAATCCCTTAATTAGTTTGCTTTAATTATAGTAGTCGATAATATCATGGTTGAAGGAGCTGCACATGTGAAGAGCTGCTCAAATCCAAAAAGCCTACTATAGTCTATAGAGTCTTTTCAATTCCAAAAATATAAACATTGTATCGAGGTTACTGCTATATAAGACAAAACTTATACTAGTACTTATACACTCTATCAGTAGCTCGCATATGGGATAAGAAACCTGTTTGAAACACCTTTTGTAGCCGATTTTGTGATAAACGGCAGAGAGGTAAATAATATTTGCACTGGAAGGATAGCATAGATAATCATAATACTCGGAAGCTAGGGGTGCTTAGTTGGACAACATTGGATTGATAATAATCATTATCATATTAATAATGCTTTTGTTAATGGGGAGCAGTTGAAATGCTGTAAGAACCATCAGATCGACCGACATCTAAATGGTGTGCACCTCTCCCCAACATATTAGTATGTATTATACGAACTAAAATGCCCCCTCTTCGAAGAGACTTATTTCTATCCTTGAAACCATTTTGCATTAGTTCAGAGAGGGGCTCTTTAAAAAAAAAATATAAAAAAGTAACAAATTCGAAACCTGAATAAGGTGTCTTTTATGCAGCTATGTAGTTAAAAACATCTGTAGTCATTGCTAGACCTGGCATATGAGTGTAACAATTATAATATAATATATAGAATAATTATGTATATACAGACTTATAAAACCAATGAATATATTTAAAAATCACTACTAATAAGTTTTACCATAACTCGAAATAACTTTATGATCAGCTGTATATATTTAGGCTTGATTGTTTACACAACGGAAATATGATATCTTATTAATAACGACGGAACTTTGACCGTCTTGCGCGAGGCTTTAACGCTGAGCTGGCAAACCTTCATAAATGCACATATCAACTAACCACTTAGATAGCAAACCCATAAGTTTGCTGTGAATAGTTTTGTAGTGCATATCCAACTGGCAAAACTACCGCTTGAATGACAAGAAATCAGCTTCATTTAAGTGATTGTTATTTCTCGAAAAAACAAGAAAAAAAGTTTCAACAAGCGAGCGACCTATCAGGAATTCACGTAATCTTTAATATAAAAAACGGCACTTTGTCAAGTAACAACGCATTTTTATGTTCATGAAAATATTATCGACCATATGCAATAGCCTTGGCCTGTAAAATAGAGTATTAAGTAAACAATCCTTGAGACCTTTTAATAAAATCAATCATCATTAAGTACATTGCTTAATTATTATATGAGACACAAACCAATATGATGAGAATTATAATTTCTTTTTTTGGTATAAATTCCTACGCAAATGGATTTTTACTCCCATAAAAATATTATTGAATATGCAATAGTTGTGCCCTCTAAAATCATATCAAATTTATTATTGTTTTGGTTTTTATTGCATTAAATTTGCAATAACTTTTCTCAAAATGAAAAATGTAAAAGCTAAGTATAATACTAGAGTTTTATCAACTTTTTATTAAAATCATTATCTTGAAACGTCGTTACGTATATTGTTGAAGTTTTATATGGAAGGACACAAATCAACATGATGAGAATTGTAATCTCTTTTTTGACATCAATTCTAATGCAAATTTATTTTTACTTTCATAAAAATATCATCCGATATATTATTATCGAATTTGATATTGTTTTGGTTTTTATATTATTAAATTTAAATGGTATTAAATAAACATAAATTTTTGTCGTAAAAAAAATTGAATATCAAAATCATGTAAAAATGAAATATACTAAAATTTTCTGAACTTCTTATTAAAATCACTATCTTAAAACATCATTACGTGTATTGATGAATTCTTATACAGAATAACACAAATCAACATGATGAGAATTGTAATCTAATTTTTAAAAACTATTTTAGATCTATTAAATTATTAAATTAAATTTTTTTCATATTCCCTAAAAAAAGTATAATAAATGCGTTAGTTGTAATTCAGTATCGCAAATTTATATATATATATATGATATATGATAGCTAACATTTTTTTATTGTTTCTGAGAAAGCTTTTCTAACGAAAGCATTACCATATGTAGTACAAAGAGTCTAGCAAAAATGATCCAAAAACAATCTGTGTCCCGTTAGTAAAAACGATCTGTGTCTATTATTTTTAAATGTTGAAACCTAGAAGAACTCTCTTGATGTTTTGTTCAATATATAATTGGTATTCTTTTCTATTCTGTTAATAGTAAATATTAAATAGTATAGAAGTGACATAAAGGGCGTTATAATAACAAAATTTGATTTTTAAAGTCAATTATAACGAATGAACCATGTTTGAATAAAAAGATATTTTGAAAAGTAGTAAATCACACGAAAAAAATGTTTTTATTTATTAATTAATTTAATTTTTAGCTGAAATGTAATTGTGAGGTATCATCAGTAGGTATCAGTGGAGCGATCTATGAAATAATCTCATTTCAAAATATTCACATGTTATTCACATGAATTCAGCGATGTCTTGAGCAGATTAATTTAAATGCATAACGAGGTTTAAGAGGTATTAAGATATTGAACAATCGAAGATTTTGAAATACAACACCCTGAAAGTTTCAAGCGATTTGTCATATAAAAGTTCCACACATATAGTTATTAATTAGCCTATTGAAGATATTCATATTATAAATGATAAATAATTAAGTAATTTTTTAAAGTCTACTTCTTTAACGATAATCATTTTAAGCCATGCTCTTTTTAATTTACAATGATAAAGATAATGATTTCTTCCATCATAAAGGAGAGTACTTTGTGTAACAATAAAGCAATTAAACAATAAAGTAATGACAAGTTAATTAGGTTATTTTTTCAAGATATAAGATATAAATAGTGACCCTCATGTATGTGTACAGGAATCAGAAATTAAAAATACTAAAAGATTGTATTCAACTACTGGACAGCCAAAGGAACAGTAGAACATTAATTGTTGTATTGATAGATATATTAATTTACAGCAATGCTTGTAGGGAATGTAAAGAGCCGTATGCAAATGAAACTCTGGACCATCCGCTGGATATTTGTCTGACTCATTAGAAAACTCAACAAAAATATGGTACTTGGGTGCTATCAGTTTTACCGGACTGGAGCACATACCTGAGGTTTCAGTTGAAATCTTACTAAAGTTCGCTAATATTATGAGTATTCTGAGTGATGCACACTATCGCTAAAAAATTAAGACTCTCATCTGATATTGCAATGCACCTGACAATGTAACCTAACCTAACCTAAACTATATTCATTTAAAGTTTTGCTATTGTTTATCATTCCATAGAACTATAATACATCAAGGTCATTGTCAATGGCCGTCTGACATGGTTATTATATCATAATATCTATATCTATGCCAATTTTACCTTCAGTTCTTAAAAAAGCTCAAAGCAGAATCAGTTGAGACACTTCAGTTTATTTGCTAAAATAAACTGAAATTGTTATTGTGAAACAAGTGAGAAGTGCAGAATTGCAGCACATAAAATGAGCATTAAATAAATTTTATATTAATTATGTCAACAATAATTTTAAGAGGCGTGTCACTTTGCAGTTGTGCCATTTCGTCATTTTGTTTGCAAACATTTGTATCTTTTTATGTGAGTACGTGGAAGTATTATTGACATCATTTTTGTTTTAATGCCAATGTCGGAATGTTGGAATGCTCGAGCGATATTTTACGTCTGCCTGCCTGAAGAGCAAACATCTCAATTTGTTTGATGTGTAATAATGAGGATTTGCTTTTGATATGAGTGCGATTTGTTTGGTTTAATATAGAAATTGATGTTTGCAAAGGAGAACAGGTGTCATTTTATACATGTCATTCCATACCAGCTTCTGCTTAAAGCAGAACCGTACATTTGAATAATTATGTATCCACGTATGTTCTGCTGTGAATATGTACCGAAATTCTAAATATTTTGAATTATGCGTTTTAATTTATAACATTTTTCATTTTAAATTGAATCTGACAAATGGCAG